TTTTTTTTTTCCAAAATCAGTGAGCTGAGTGTTATTGAGTCAAATGAGTAAAAATGCTTTCCCTTCTAATCCTATGCTCAGGCATTCGAAAGCAGCCCAATTAGTAGCGTGCTTATTGGCAAAATTGTTAATAACTCCTACTTTTGGAGTTTACGTAGAAATAAACCGTCCGCTAAATACGAAAATATATCACGCCTAACGTCAATATCTCTCCCGCATTCACTCGCTCTGAGACTATGTAACAAATGCCAGCAGTAACCATTGCTGGCAGAGCCGTCAGTGACTTTCTTTCTCGAGGGCTACTTGTAGGCAAGCCTATGTCCCACTGCATAAAATTCGTAATAAAAAAAAGGCAAGACCTTGACAAAAGCAAGACCTTGATTTGATCTTGACAATAGTTGAGTGAAAAGTGTGCGTGCCAAGGAATGCCACATTTAAGCAGTTAATAACACATTATCACCTACTGATAATTCTTAAGCAATTAAAGATGCAAATATAAAAATAAAATTTACGTAATATTAAACTAAGGGAAATAACCACAAATAACCGAAATTAGTAAAGCATGCTACAGATCCCCAAAAATTGATTTCAACTAATCATTATTTCCCGCGGTATTTCTAAACAAGAATTTAATGTACTTGGAAGATAATAAAAGTAAAATCCGAAATAAGAACAGTTAGTTACTTCAAATAATTATTAATTAAAAATAATTACCAATAACGGCATAGTACCGGACTCTGGGACTCTCAGTGCATCATACAAATCTTTTCAAACTGTAAACCGAGAACTGACACATAAGAAAATGAAAATGAAAGGACTGAACACTTCCAAATTTTAAAATTTTATATTTTTCACAACATCGGGACTTCTAAAAATTTTACTTGCTTAAAAGAAGTCACAAATAGCAGCTGAATTAATTGGTTGCAGGTCCATCTGGACCACCTGGACATCCAGGCCGCAACGGAAATGCAGGCAATCCAGGACCACCAGGACCACCGGGACCACCAGGACCGAACGGAAATCCGGGTATGGACGGAGCACCTGGTGATCCCGGCCGCTCAGTTGCAGGTACACCACCACAGCCGGGCGATCCTGGACCAGCCGGAGAACAAGTACTTTTCATCCTCAAACTATGATATATTTGTGATAATTAACATGAGTATACTTTTAATTCAACATGTGCTTTGCAGGGAGCGCCGGGAGAACCAGGCGATATGGGACCACCAGGAAATGCTGGGCAGCCAGGACGACCAGGTGCTCGTGGCCCTCCCGGACCACCCGGGCAGCCGGGCACTCCTGGAGAAGCAGGTGGACCAGGACAACCAGGTCAGCCAGGTCCGTCTGGTGAGCCAGGCATCTGTCCCAAATATTGTGCTTTGGATGGTGGTGTCTTCTTCGAAGATGGAACTCGTCGTTAAGTAAGTTACAATAAGCATTTGTCGATTGTTGGAAAAAAAGTCCCACATTTCTTCTTTACTTTTGAATTAAGATTACTGATATCTA